CCCTTCAGTGTGGATAGGTCTTAGGGAAAGTTCACTTTGGGGATTCTAAGCATGCTCTGGGAACAAAATTCGTGAATTGATGTCTTAGACTCATTATCAGCGCATGCCTACATTTTCTTACCCTGTAAAATAGGGCTGAGGATAGAGCAATTACTCATTAAGAAATTGTGTGAATTGAAGCAATTAATCAATGTAAATTATTTAGAACGCCATATGGCAAACAAGAAAGCAGTCACTAAATTGTTGGTTGCTCTTTATATTATAATCTGCTGGAATTATGGTGAGGTATACTTGACATCAAGCTTGTAAGGAATAAATATAAGGTGTTGCATCAAAGGCGTATCTCCCATCCCATCATCCCTCAGGACTTGGCACAATGCCTTGTCTTTGAAGCCTCCCAGAAAATGATTTTAGTGGAATATAGTGCATTATATAAGACGTAATGTACTGTAAGAATCAAGAAAACAGAGATCGATTTATTATGAAGGGCACAATAACCACGAGCCTGACTGCTGTTCGGCAGGAGTTTCTCTTATTGCTCTGAAGCTCTCGCATCTTATATGGGGAAGTACTATTTTTATCACTGAAGTAAATACAAAACAATCTTTCTGTGTTTGGTAGCCCTGTCAGCTGGCCCAGCATACCATGTAAAAAGTGAGACTATTAAGGAATATGAACCAAAACCTTCCATTCTCCAACTGGTGCTGTAAAAATGTCAGAGCCTTATTAGCATTTATAGAACACAGCCAGTAAGACAGTAGACATGTGAGTACAGATTGCTGATAAAGTTAGACCTTCTAAAGTTGTTTGGGTTTTTTTGAGAAACATAAAATGTCTGATTTATAATGGTTCAAAAAATATAAATGGACCTGACACGCAGGTTAAAGATCTTTGCAGGTAGCAGAATCTGTGTCTCTTAAGAGATTAGACTGGTTTCCTATATGACTTGTCATTTGGGGAACAATTCTGCACAGTTTCACATGCCAAACACTAGAAACTGATCACTGTTTTTCCTTAACTGGATGATTAGAAATATATTGTCTCTGTCTATAAAATCCCACATCAGTAGGCATAATCTAAGAACTAAATAGCTAGAGCCAGCATTTTCCTGGACCAAACCTTAACAAGTAAAGTGACTATAAATCGGGGGATAATTGAAAGAACTTACCTAAGGACATTTTGTCATTGTACCAAGACCTAATGTGATAAAAGTGAATTACTAGCATTTATTTATCTGGCACAAGTGTGTCCTGGGTTGCATAACCAAGGGGCTTGTGTTTTAAGTCATGCATGTTCATAGAGAAAACAGAGGTCCTGTTAGCAGTGCTGTCCACTGTCCCTGTTCATCACATTAACGGCTACTGGATTTATGGTACAGAGGATAGGATGTGTAGAGTTAAAAGCAAAGTTAATCTGCTATGAACTGTATGGGATCACCAATTCTGTATGCATACCAAGATTGGCAAAGGACTAGAAAGTAAGTAATACATGAATCCTCTTTGTTTTCATTTTTCCTTCTAAGAAAACAAGACGGTTGGCCATGAGTACATTAAAAACAAGAAAACAAATGTGAATATAAGGGTCAATTAATTTATATGCAGTCAACCATTAGAAATATGATTAACAGTGGACATGAGATACATTTTTAGTACATGCTTGAACAAAGCTATCAAGACCTTGTGAGCAAATTATCTTACTCAACTAAGTGTCTCTTACTGCATTTACTTGAATGAAGAGGTAAAAGGGCATAATGATTTTATACAGCACTTACATGAGGGAGAAACAAGTTTTCATGAAAACAGCAAAAGCAAGGCAATATATCACCTAGCAACATAATATGTAGTTGTAACTTGTGTTTGAAAAATGAAGCCATTTAAAATTTCAATAGTTTAATAAAGAAAGAAAAAAATGGGGTGGGAAAGAGGTGACAGTGGTCAAGGTACATGATGTTCACGAACTGTCGTGTTACATGACAACCCTGTGTACCACTACTTAGAGGTAACACAAAATATTTTAAAAATAGGGGTGGAAAAGCTTCTTATTTTTCTTGCTAGAATTTGTTCTTATTTGACTTTCGATTAAATAACTATGTCTACCCTTAAACAGTATTTTAGGAAGTGATTTTTCTCTCATTGTTCATTAGGTAATAAATAGAAGTTAACGATAAGATAGATGAAGTCCAAGGATTTGGGAGATTAAAGAAAAAACTAAAAGGAACAAAAGTGACGGAAAGGTGTGGTGGCATCAGCTCGCTCAGGTAGTTTACAAACACACTTCAAGAAAAGGTAGAGTGAGTTCGCCAAGCACTAAAGAGCTTGGAGCATGTGTCTTCTAAAAATCAATACTATAATTCCCCGAAGACGCTAAGTGACTTTCTTTAGTCAGTACGTGGTGTTCACTCATCAGCCATTTGTTGCCATTTGATAAGATAACAAATGTCTGCACTTTGAGTGTCAGCATATATTTGAATAAATCCAGCGGTGGGAGGGAACCCTGAAGTTTCTTAAACCAGAAGAACATTCTTATGAATAAATTCTCACTGTTGTACTCAGGGAGTGGATCTATGACTCAAAGCCGCAAACGTGAGTGACAGAGTTGCTACGGAACTTGACGAGGCTCTGGGAACAAACGGCACAGTTGGGACTTTCTAACGGCGTGTTGGAATTGCAGTGGAAGGCAGGCCTCTGGCTCAGGTGAACCTTCTCTGGCCAGCCTGGTTTCCTGGCAGCTTCCATGCCCAGCACTGGCCCCTCTTCCGTCCATCCCCCTTCTCAGCACACACAAATAAGGCTGGGCTTGTGCTTTGAAATCGATCACTCTGCTCTGACAAGTTTTCTTTCCAGAAACCCTATCACAAAGGTAAAATACTAGGAATTTCTTCTCTTAAAAAGCCTGAGTTCTGGTCTGCAAGTCACACCCCTCCTCCCCCCATGCATACTCTGCCTCTACTTCTTCTGAAAGCAAATTCTTTCCATATAAAACACGAGGAAGTTCAGCACAGCTTTATTAGCTGACCATCAAAGTTTCCTTACTTTTTGCGTTTTGGTCTCTGAACCTGGGAAACTTTGGAAAAATCTATACATGTAACAAAAGTAAAAAAAAAAACATCAAAATGTAAAATGTATCTAATCATTATCTCAACAGGTTATAGTTCAAAATGGAATACTTTGAGCAAAGGATATAAGTTTGCAGCATCATTACTAAAGAAATTAGGTCCTCCAATAATTGGGATTTCATACCACTAAAAATCACTATAGTATATGAACATATTTAAATTTGGCCCCCAAATTTGAGAAAATGTCCCTACTAATATGAAAAGATAGGAATATTAAAATGCATCTCATCTTTGTACAATAAGTTGAATGTGGGCATGTGTTCATTTGTAAAACTCAAAAATAAAATATATTGGGGTAGATGGAGGAGGAGAAAAATGGAAGGGGTGCTATAGATCAAGGAGCATTGTACTTAAAAAGTGAATTGAAATCCCATCGGACGACTACTTAAGCATAATTTTAAAATATTGCTGAGCAATGAGAGAAAGGAAATAAAACCTCTCTACAGAGTTCATATGAACCCTATCTTTAGCCTCCTTAAATACACCATTGCAACTAACTTCCTACCGGTCATACTGCAGTCATATGTCATTCAAGTACAACTGCCCCCTCGGTCCTAGAATGGCAGACCAGACTCAGGGCACACAGTTTTAATCTACCCGTTGACAAAGTTACAAATGTCTACAGCTGACAGATAACTTCAATCTGGTTAAACAAGTGAAAGTTTGCCTTTGATGTGAAGTTGTCATGAGACAAAGAGCCATCCACAGAATCAACAAGAAGAGCAAGACAGAAAGGGAGCAAAGAAACACAAAGGATGGCTGAGACAAGCAGAAAAGGTCAGATAAGCTGATGCTAGGTGAAATGAACCCCAAGATAAGGATTCAAATGTTTTTTCTTTCTTGCGATTGTTTCTAATATTTATAAGATGATTCTTTGTTGCGTTGTATGTCCCTCCTCCACGGTATAACCCCTGCTTTCACTATATTTGATGTTGGTATAATTTGTGGAGGGGAAGGGAAAAAACAAATCGTTTAAACAGGGATACAGGTGGACCCACTGCAACAATGGGATGTACAAGTTGTTATGTCCAAAAACGAACTTAACAACTTTACAACTTTGGTCCGGGTGGGGGTGGGGCGGAGGGTGGAGGTGGGTGGGAGATGGGAAGGGATGGAAAGGGGAAACAAAGGAGGAGGCAACAATGCTTGATAATTACCTTGCCCATGTCATTGTAACCCCTCTGTACGGTATTTTCACAATTTAAAAAAATATAAAAAATTAAAAAAAAATAAAAAGAAACACAAAGGAAATCTCCATGTGTGGCCAGTTACCTACCCAAATAGAAAATTACACATGCAGATTCACGGTAACATTCGCTAGCAACAAAATGCAGTCCTTGTAGCAGAAGAAAAATCCTGGACACGGGATCTGGCAGAGAGGCAAGTTTGTCACCTAAGTCCCTTGGCCTGGGGCAGAGAACTCTCTCTCACTAGCAGCAGCTTTTTCACTTACAAAGTCAGGGAAAACAGGGACAATCGCCATAGTGCATGTCTGTGTCCCAAGCTATGTGAAAAGACTGTCTCTCCAAAATGAACAAACAAATACATAAGCAGGACATGGTAGTATATACCTGTAAACCCAGCTGCTTGGAGGACGGAGATAAGAGAATCATGTTCCAAGCTTTATCCTAGACAAAAATGTAAGACCTCATAAACAAAAAAGATCTAGAACTATATCTCAAGTGGCAGAGCACTTGCTAGCAAGTGTAAGATACTGAATTAAAATCCACTGGGGAATATAAGAACTGCTTTTATAAGATGATTTTTAAAACTACAACAGCATTCATAAAAGTGAAATGTCATGCTACAAATAATGCACATTTAACCTGTAAACTACTATATAAGTTCTGAAAGTTATGGATACAAATAAGATAGAATTGCTTACCAAGGATGAATTCCAGCTGTGGCTCATTGGGCATCTTCTGAATGCCTATAAAAAATAATGGGGGTTAGTTGTCCAGATTTTATAAAAATTAGCTCATTACCAATTCTATGCCAGTGTCAGTAGCGGATGTGTAAGTACATTGCTGCGCAGGAGGAGTAAGTGAACTCAGGTTTTCAGTCCTAATAGTTATCTCTAGGGAGGGGCACAGGAGCTGTCCCAGGCTTGAATATCATGCTCTATGGCCATAAACAATCGGAGAAATACTCTGTTCGTAAGCCATGACAAATACAAAGCTTCTTTTTCAGCTGTGTCTGCTTCTGCAGAGGGCAGTAGAACGTTTAAAAGGAGTTACCTCACCCCTGTGCTTCCTTACATGGATTGTCCTTCAAGCAGCTCTGAGCCTAGAAGAAATCCTTAACTAAAGGTTGGTGGTAAAAAGTAATACTCCAAACGGAACTACCAAATGAAAAGGTAAATGTGTCCATTTCATTTTCTACTACAGCATGGCTAAATGACTGAAGATGAACTAGGGAGAAAGCAAGCGTGGGAAGTGGGGAGTTAGAGGGGGAAGGCTAGGGTTGGGGAAGAGCTTTTGTGGGAGGGGATTGGTGCCTGATGGTCATACACACCGGGAACTTCCTAAAGGAGAATGCACAAGCCATAAAAAATTATTGTTGTTGTTGTTGTTATTATTATTATTGTCAGTCGTGGGGCTTGAACTCTGGGCCTGGGCACTGTCTCTCAGCTCTTCAGCTCAAGGTGAGTGCTCTACCACTTGAGCCACAGTGCCACTTCCGGTTTTCTGGTGGTCACTTGGAGATAAGAGTCTCACGGACTTTGCTGCCTGGGCTGGCTTTGAGCTATGATCCTCAGATTGCAGATCCTCAGATCGCAGCCTCCTGAGTAGCTAGGATTACAGGCGTGAGCCACTGGTGCCTGGCCAAAAATTATTTTTTAAAGGTAGGAAAGAGGGTAAGAAAGAGTAATAGAGGACATAATACACATGTATGGAACTATCACCACACACATGTATGGAAGGCCCTTTGTACAATCAATATCCACTAATAAAAGAATTACATTTATAAACAAAAGAGAACAGGTGAGGACTTGGTTCAAAACTGGGACCATATTTATTACAACTCATAGAGAGCCAAAGAAGCAAACATAAAACATAGGAATATAGGAAGAAAAATCATTGTAGCAACAACGATAAGTGTATTATTAAAAAAAATACTCTCCTTGTTTATTTTCTGCTACATTCATCAGACACAACTTTAATTTATTGACATTTGGTCACTAATGTATTCTTTAAAGCCACCTCTTTGCAAAAAGAAGTAATGTTTATTCATGGAGTTAACATTTTTTGCATATAGGCATGTTTTTTTCATGCTGACATTTAATAGTGCTATGGTTAACAAGTTTAGACTTTTCAATAAAGTAGAAGGACATTGTAAAATTTGAAGTCTGAATTTTTTTAATGTAATTAATTATTAACTCTGCTGTGCCACAAGCCCTAACAAACAAATTTATTGAAAATGTATCCAACAGGTACCTTTTTCTAATAATAACTTTTGAAACATAAATGAAATAAGGTTTTATATATATATATATATATGTGTGTGTGTGTGTATGTGTATATATATATATATATATATATATATATATATATATATATATATTTGACAGTGTTAAATAAATCTTCTGGAAGAAAAAAAGCTAAAATCATACTAAAAAGTAAAACCCCAAACCATAAGTTTTTAAGCATGCTTTTAATTACTTTAGAGGCACAAAATCCAACAGTTCTAATGGGCAAATGCAAATCATGAGCAAATGCCATGCTTATTCCCACAATGTGATTTAGAGCTATGTGGTAAAGGACCAGAGTCCTGTGATATTTTTTACTAATGCTTTCACCTTAAATGCCTTTGAGAATAAAAGTATCTATGTTTCTAAAATAAAATGATGTAAGAATATATAAATACCAAATAGAAGGTGTTCTTAAACACATTCTTAAGTGTTCTCTAGTGTTAAGTGCCCAAACATGTCTTTAAAAGTGTTTCATCTCGTTAAGTCACATGTAAGTGTCATGTAAACATGACACTTAATGCATAGTGATGACTTGTTAACTGGAAAGGATATTAATAAAAAGCGTAGATCATATGCATTCAAGAACTTTGATGTGTAACCATTCCATGGACTACAATCAACTTCATCTCGGATGAAGGCTGTGGGGTGCAGCGTGGCCTGAGGATCCCAATGTATACAATAAGTAGTGTAAAGGAGACACACTGAGGCAATACCATGCCATTCATTAGGACACACGTGTCTGTGGGTGCACAGCCCGGTGTGTTCCATGAACCCTATCTGTGTCGCAGAGCGGGGCAGGCACATGCACACTTACTCGTGAACTGAATGTCCCCTGTGTCGTTTGCCTGGGCAGGAGGAAGGAAATGTTGGCCTTCTTCTGACGTGCCTTCTTCTTTGATTTCCATGATGAATCTTCACAGCTGTTTACTTTGCCAGGTGTTCTTATCCAAGCGTTGACGTACCTTCACACTAAATATCTGATATCCCACTCTGAAATTCTGCACCTGGGAAACATCAAGAATGAAATCTGCAGTTACCACAATTGGAGTTCAGGATAAAGCTAAAAATGAACAGTCCACTGAAAATACAACCAACTGCAAATACACTTCCTTCCATTTCTGTTTCACTCCCACTCAGAACCAGGCCACACAATTGCTCTGTAAACTCTAGGCTGAGTAAATGTTTTCCAAACCCTAAAACAAATGCCTTTTCTCTTCCAGTGACTTCTACCTAGAGGCAGGTATGAGGCTGTGAATTTCATATGCACCTAATCTAGCCATGAGTACAGGTCGCCGCTTGCAAAGGCTTCTGTGTGGTCTGCCATAGTGCCTACAATTACCAGTCTGTCCGTGATTTTTGCCCTTCACACTCATCTCTCTATTGGCCATTGTTAGAACATCAGTCATGACCACAGAAAGATAAGTTGGCCTGACATTCTTCCTCTAAGATGGCTCAACAGGTTGAACAGGGGAATTTCCAGCTGCTAGAGAGTCTCTGGCTGTTCCACTTGATAAAGATTTAATTGTTTAATGATTTGGGGTATAGGGTGAAAAGAACGAATAATAGTTTTTCAAAGCCAAAAAGCTCATGAGGACATGAAAGTAATAGCAAATTGATGGAAATTAGCATGGGGGAAAGAAAGCTACTCCCCAAATTTAATACCCTGTTACACAGACAGCCTCAGATAGTTACAAATTCATTTTGATACTTAGCATGATCTACATGACCAAGAGTGAATTGGAAAAAAAAATCAATGTTGTTTTAAATCAAGTTACCAGCTGAATTAAAATGTGTAAAAAATCTTTAAATGTCTACCCAGCGCTGTGTAATGAGGCGGCGGTGGCGGGGTGGTGTGGAATACTGATGCGGTCTCAAGCCACACAAGCCAACAGCCCCACGCTGGAAGCTTCTCGGCAACACGGCTGCATTTCATATGCGGCTCTAGTTCTGAGAATTCATCTGGCAAACATTAAACCCAGAAAGCATCTTTAGGACATAGTACAATAAAGTTGCAGAAATAAATCCTGATTGGCTCCTAATGCTGTAAGGAGGAATATTTTCTGAGACAAGAGCTTTCCACCATCGATTACAGTACATCCCTCCATTAACACGGGATGGCTTACAGCAAGGTCATATATTCAGATTTCTTTCACAGCTATTTCATTTAGAGTTCTTTTCTGATTAGGATAAACTTGCATGCATGAACATGAACCACATGCTTCCAGGCACCTGTAAGAATAGGGTCACAGACAAGGCTGTGGCAAAAGGGCAATGTGTTTCTCAGCTGGACAGAAGGGCCATGTCAACTTCACTATCATTCATTTATTTGTTTGCTCTTTGTTTATCTATTGGTGCCAAGACTGAGGCCTAAATTCAGGGCCTCATAATCTTAAACAGCTTTTGGCATGCGGCTGGTGTTCTACCACTTGAGACATGCCTCTAGTTTTGGTATGTTGCTGGTAAACTGGAGGTAAGAGTCCCTTGTATTTGTTTGTCTGGGCTGGCTTTGAACTTTGTTTCTGAGATCTCAGCTTCTTGAGTACCTAGGATTATGGGTGTGGTAACCAGTACCCATCTTCATGTCATGCTACACGCATACACACGCACACACACATACACTATTCTTTAATCAAGGATTCCACTCTTAATTTTGACCAGACATCACAAAACTTTAAGAGGAGACATACGGGAAGTATTGTGAATGAATGAATAATTGGAAAATAACAACTCAGTACAATAATGACTATCTGGTGTGATGACCGCCAACCTTCTGTGTGAGTGTGTGTGTTGTGTCACCTGGAGGTACAGAAAGGGGCCTGCAGGAAGATGCCTGTGCACTCAGTGCCATGTTCCATATGAAGTGTAACCACCCTCTCAAAACTAGTTCACTAAGTGTAAGTAAGTGTGTAAAACCAGGATTCGGAGACAGTTTGTTTTTTTGTTTTTTTGTTTTTTGGTTTTTTTTGGGTCCGGTCGTGGGGCCTGAACTCTGGGCCTGGGCGCTGTCCCTCAGCTCTTCAGCTCAAGGCTAGCGCTCTACCACTTGAGCCACAGCGCCACTTCCGGCTTTTTTCATTTTGCTTATGTGGTGCTGAGGAATGGAACCCAGGGCCTCAGGCATGCAAGGCAAGCGCTCTTCCACTGAGCCACCTTCCCAGCCCTCGGAGACAGTTTGTGACGCTACTCTAGCATCCTTCCACTATTGTGTTGAGGAGTCATTTAAGGTTTGTAACTTGTTATCAGGAATCAACAGGTTTGATGCCTGTTAATTCAGAAATTAGTGACTAGCTCCAGAACTCTCACCTTTGTAGGTAGAAGTAGAGCTTTCACCTGGTTACCGCTGGGTTCTTTCTCTAGGTCAGTTTGGAAGTTTCTGGTTTGGCTAGCATGCACAAGAAGAAATGGTGGTTTTCGCATACCACAAGTATAATTAAGAGAGACAGCTTACAAGTGGCGTGGCTGCCCAGTGCGGCTCTCATACCTTATGTCCTACTCAGAACAGCAAGGAGCCAAATGCTCAGGACATTCAGAACAATATTCTTGGTTCTCTCCTGCTCCCCAGGAGAGAGAAAGGTCTGCTAGGGATATTTCAAGTGATATAGAATCCTAGCTTCTCAGGAAGCTGAGATATAAGGATCATGGTTCAAAGCTAAGTCAGGCAGGAAAATCCATGTGACAATAATCACCAATTCACCAATAAAAAGCTGGAAGGAGAAATATAGCTCAAGTGGTAAAGTACCAGCCTTGAGCAAAACAAAACGAACAAACAAAACCAAAGAGAGATAGTGCCTGGATTTATTTAAGCCCTAGTGCCAGCACATATCACTCACACACACACACACACACACACACACACACACACACACACACACACACACACACACACACCCCGAACAATGTCTCACCAATCAAAGTAAAAACAGGAATGTGTGAACATACTGTATACCTTACACTGCAAAGAACAATCTATCAAGCACTTAAAAATGACACCAGGAGATATGGTTAATTCCAGAAGAGAAGAGCAACCACATCTATGGGGAAAATAATGAGCCGTTCCATCAGGGCTGGAAGGCAGATTAGATGACCCTGTGTGCACGATGTCCCCTCCTCGTCACCAGACAATGAAGGATAGTTTGTGACAGGGTCACCACTAGAAACCTGCAGTGCCAGGCGGGTGACTTCTCAGTGAACAGGAAATCAAAGAGCATCTCGGGTCGAGGCAGAGCACCGGAGCTGAATTCAAGTTCAGGAGATGGCGTCGCGGAGGACACGTCAGCATGTCCTTGGCCGATGTGGCACTTTTTAAATAGCATACTCATTCCACAGTGCCACACAACATCACTGGCCTCAAATTTGAGAAATTTGTAAATGGAGATAAAAGCAGTAAAAAGTGACTGAGAAGGTGTAATGAACAGTACAGAAGATGAAAGACAGGAGAAGAGGACTCCGATCTGTTGGTGATTACACGTAAAAGGTTGTAATAAAGGTAACTGTTTTATAACTATCAAATAAGGCAACTTAATTATGTGAAATAGTTTCTTCCATAAATCTTTCTATTAGAGATGAAGCTTTGATATTGATTATTCCAGTGCAGGAGGAAAGGGGAAAAACAATTAGGTTTGAGGACACAAGATATGCTGAATTATTTCCCTTTGATCTTTCCACTGTTGGGTTATAACAGGTTGGCAACATTCTAGAACATTTACATAATGGATACATTTGGCATCTGTGAAGCTCAAACCAGAGGTAGACAAAGAAAGCTGAGTGAGAGGGCAGGTGTGGAGACACGAGGGATCTGACGCTCATGGTGGGTGGCAGGTGAACGTCCTGTCTCCTGTGTGTCTGCGGGGTCCCCCCTCAGGGCGCCCCTGTGCGAACACAGGGCTTCCTCCTAAATGTTCAAGAGAGCAAACCACGTGAATGGGCGGGGGACAAGGACTCTGGGACACAGGATCCCCTCTTCTGCTCTCCTGCATGGCTGGACACGAGGAAAGACGACTCTGCTCTCAATGTGGGGGCAGAGAGGGAAAGGAACCAACACTAACAACGTTGCTCTGGGTTCCTAACGAAAGGAATTCTGGCTGCAGAGATTGGGGTGTTGGCTTCCCAGGCCAAGAAGCAGATAGAAGATGTGGTCCAACCACAGTCAGCTTCCTCTGCAGCTACACAGCCCAGGAAAAGCCCCATCCAGCAGGGCCCACTAGAATAAGAGAAGGAGACGATGGGTTACGCCAGCCATGGAAGAGAGCACTAACAGGGCCAGACCTGCACGACCTTGCTTTTACCATTCTGTAATCATGTGAGAGCAGGCGTTTAATTGGTCCAGTGTCCTGTTCCCACAGGAGGAGAAGAAGGGGAAATGGAGAGTGGCTGAGATTCCGAAACAGAACAAGGGATTTCAGATGTAGCTCAGACTGTATTTTTAAACATTGATTTAAACCCTAGTGGACTAAACAGTAAAGACCTTTTATTCATTTATTTTGCTTTGTTTTGTTTTCCTGCTCTCAGCGAGACAATACTTATCTAGAGAAGAAAAAAAAAGAAAAGGTCTATTCTATGAAAGTAAAATTTGCCATACTTTGCACAAGTCTTTTATAAATGCCAACCAATTTCTCTCTTTAAAAAGATCAGATCAGCTGGAAACAGGAAAATAAATGACTTTGGATGTGTCCTTAAAAGAGGTCACTTCAGCTAGGAGTCAGTGGTTCAAGTCTGTAATCTTAGCTACTCAGGAAGCTAAGATCTGAGGATTATAGTTCGAAGCCAGCCTGTGCAGAAAACTCTGTAAGACTTATCCAATTAGCTAGCAAAAAACTAGAAGTGGAGCAGTGACTCAAGTACAAGAGCAGCAGGCTTGAGTGAAAACGCTCAAGATAGTGCCAGGCCCTGAGTGCAAGCCCCATACCAGCACACACGTGCACATGCGTGTGCACACACACACATACACTCTCTCACACACACATACACACACACACACACACACACACACACACAAAGTCCCACT